ACACAGAGAAACCATAGAGAGCAGGAACAGGAAAGAGTTGTTGGATGGGAGGGAGACAGAGGCCTTCAGATGTGGATGTGAAAAGACCCTGGAGAGTCCATCTGGAGTTCATATGGGTGGGGTGCCCTCCTTAAAGGTCCAGGACACCACAGCCCTGAGGATGAGTCTGCATGAGTGAAAGTATGACAAAAGGGGAAGGGAAGAAATGTGGAGACAGGATCTAGAAGGAATTATGATTATTTTGGAGGTACTGAAGTTTGAACTCAGGACCTCACATTTGTTAGGCAGGTGCTCTACCACTTAAGCCAGACTCTCCGGCTCTTTTTTTTTTTCTTATTTTGGAGATAGGCTCTCAATTTTTTCCTGAACTGACCTGGATGTAATCCTATTTTACTCCTTCTGCATAACTAGGATGACAGGCACGTACCACCCCGTCCAGCTATTGGTTGAGATGGGGGTCTCTCAAACTTTCTCCCTGGGCTAGCCTAGAACCACATCCTCCTAGTGTCTGCCTCCTGAGTAGTGGGGATTACAGGTGTGAGTCACCATGCTTAGCCAGGAAGAATTATTTTAAGGTAGAAAGATGGCTTAATGGTTTCTCCATTTTGTTCCACCGGTGCTGCCCTGGTATTGGAGACTTGTAATGTGCCAGACCCGTGCTAAGCCTTCTCTGTCAGGGTTGTCTCAAAGTCTGCAGCGTTTCTCTCTGTAATGACTTAAACATAGCTGTAAGTCACTGTCCCTCAGATGCCAATAGTGTCTCTCTTCTGGAAAACCACTAGGAACAAGGCTCCACCCCCTGGAGCAGAAGCTCCAGGTTCCGGAGTTTAGCAACTGAGCACCTTCCTGGTGTCACCTGTCCTCACTTGTCCAGCTCCATCTCACTCCGGTGTTCCGTTCCCAGCATAATGAGTTCCTGTGGACACTCACTTGTTCATTCATTTATCCAGCAAGTATGTATTGAGCATCTACTGTAAAAGAATGGAAACAAGAGGAATGGTGCTCTCCTTTCATGGAATTTAGCAAAAACAAATAAGTAACAATAAAATAATCCAGCCAGGCACTGATAGCTCACATCTGTAATCCTAGCTACTCAGAAGGGAGCGATCAGGAGGATTGCGTTTTGTTTTTTTGCACAGTACTGGAGTTTGAACTCAGGGCCTACACCTTGAGCCACCCAACCAGCCTTTTGTGAAGGGGTTTTTTATTTGAGATAGGGTTTCATGAGTTGTTTGCTTAGGCTGGGTTTGAACCATGATCCTCCTGATCTCTGCTTCCTGAGTAGCTAGAATTACAGCTGTGGTGCCTGTCATAGGAAGACTAGATAGATAGATGGTAAATAGATAGGTAGATAGATGGATAGGTAGATGATAGGTAGATAGATAGGTAGATAGATAGGTAGATGTATCTATTTTTTTTTTTTGGTGGGATTATGGTTTGAACTCAGGGCTTAATGAGGATCACAGTTTGAAGCCAGCCTGGGCAAATAGTTTGGGAAACCCTATCTTGAAAACACCCAACACAAAGCAGGATGGTGGAGTAGCTCAAGCAGTAAGAGCACCTGTCTAGCAAGTGTGAAGCCCTGAGTCCAAACTTCAATGCCACCAAAACAAAAAAATATCCAGCAGGTGTAAGGATGCTGTAAAACTAAAAGGCGAGGATAAGAGTGTGACTATGGGGGAGGCCTATGTGCTGGGGTTCCCAGGGCGAGTCTTGGTAAGGAGATGAGCTCAGGCTGACACCTGGTTGGCAAATAGCCCACAAAGATCTGGAGGGCGGGGCACATGCTTGGCTGAGAGAATAGTCAGTACCAAGGCTTTCAGGTGTGCACTCTGGCAGAGGGAGAGGGTGGGGAACCGAGGAACAAAGAATGCCGAGTGTGCTAAGGCACAGCCAGGTGGGACTGTAACCTCAGAAGAGGCTGGAACTGGGAGGGGACCAAACCGCAGGGCTTTGTGGGCCTGGCTAGGACGTAGATCTTCATCCCAGAAGCTGTGGGAGCCGCTTGTGTTAAGCAGAGAAGTGGGGTGGTTAGATTTTACGGTTTTAAAAGATTGCCCTGGGAGCTGGGGTAGTGGCTCATGCCTGTCATCCTCCCTACTCAGGCCACCCAGGCAAAAAGTTTGAGACCCTATCTGAAAAATAACTAAGCAGTGAATGGCTGGGGGTGTAGCTCTAGTGCCTAGTAAGAGTGAGGCCCTGAGTTCAAACCCAAGTACTGCCAAAAAAATCACTCTGGCTTCGTGAGAAGAAAGTCGAACCAGAATAAAACTGAGATCAGTTAGGAGGCTGCTGCCAGAGTTCAGGTGAGAGGTTGTGGTCACTTGGGAACACAGAGTGGCAGCAGAGATGGAAAGGTCTGGTAGATAGGTTTGAGAGGCTCTGTGAGGGCTGGGTGAGGAGGACCTCGAGTTGGGAGTGAGTGGGAGGATTCGTGGAGCGTGTGTAAGACGCTGAACCTGTGTTCATAGGGTGGAACAGGGAAAATATGAGAAAGAGGTGACCTCTGCTCTGCCTCCACTGTGCACCTGTCTAGCATATACAAGGCCCTGGGTTCCATCTCCAACACCCCAAAAAAACCAAAAAATTCCCTGCTCATGGCTGTGTGTGGGGAATAGCATGGGGAGAGGGCAACAGAGCAAGTCACACATTGCCCTTCAAGAGGTCACATTTCATAGCATCAGCACACCCGCAGGTGTACAACATGCAAAAGAACTGGTAGAAAAGAGCCCTTGGGTCCAGCCAGTAAGCTGGGTCTGTGAGATATTGTTAGGAGGTGGGGTAGGTGGGGCTGGAGCCTGGGAGGGTTTTACTTTGGAAGGAAGGTGCCAACTCTGCTGGGAGCTAAGTTGTCACCTCCCCTTGAGAACCTGGGGAGGGACTGGTCTCCAGGCTACTGCTCACGTCGTGGGTGTGCAGGTGCACACGTGGAAGTCTGCTCCCAGCACAGGACACATACTGGGGTGTCAGGTCTGTACGTGGCTAGACTCGAAGGCAGCTTTATCTGATGTAGCAGACAGACTGATACAGGGTGATAGACTGACTGACAAGGCTGGTTGGCAGTAAATACTTGCACCTGAACTCAGAGCCAGGTCTGTGCTGCTTCTGTTCTCCTAGATTCTAAGCCTGGGGTCACTCACAGAAGACAGTACAAACTGCCTTTGGGGTTCCACTCTTGTCGCTAATAATGTAGCTTTTGTTATCCTTGAATGTCCGCAAACTGGCTCCCTTGCAGGATATTGTACCTTCATCCAGGGCAACCTCTCAGAAGGGAGCCTCCAAGGAGTCTTTTCCATTCTGTCCCCAGACATGAAGTCCCTGAAGTTCATGTCAACTGCCCCTACCTCTGCCTTCTGGGCTCCTTCCTTTCTTTCTCATCTGATTTTTAAGCAGGTCATTGCAGTTGTCCATGTTCTGATGGTGTTTGATTTAGAACAATACCCGGGTAGTGAAATAAGAGGAGGTGTTCTCTCGTTGCCAGAAAAGGGATGTCAAATCATTCCCAGCTTACGGAATGTAGTTTCCCTCCTGTTTCAGGCTGGAATAATATTAGGAAGTAAGGTGGAGTTAGATGGTCTCCTGACTAAGGAGTAATGAGTATTGAACTTTTAGCACAGGGAGCCTAGATAAGCCAGAGGGGAGAGAGGTACACCAAAAGGTACATTAGAAAAGTTGAGACTTTGTGCATTTTGAAATTTCATCAAAACAGTCTCCTGTTTTGGGGCTTAGATATCTGTCAGAGAGGTTGAAATTTAGACAGCAACATTTTAAAAACCACAGAGCTGTCAGCCATTTGTGGTTCACATCTATAATTCTAGCTACTCAAGAGGATCAGGTTCGAAGCCAGCCCCGGGCAAATAGTTTGTGAGCAAAAAAAAAAAAACCATAAAAAAATGTTGGGGGAGTGCCTCAAGCTAAGAGTGCCTGCCTAGCAAGTGTGAGGCTCCGAGTTCAAACCCCTTGTTATAACAGAACATGGGGGCGGGGGGAAGGGGCAGGGTGGAGAAATTACCCAAACATATATGCACACGTGAATAAATTAACAACAAAAAAAGAACATGGGACCCTGGAGAAACAGCCAGAATGTCACAGGAAAATGACGTCAGCAGAAGTACACTAAGGTTGAACTTTAGAGATGTTACTGTCACAGTTTAACAACAGTGCCATGTACGTGGGTGTTAGATCCTCACGACAACCCTCCGAGGTAGGTAAGGTGGGTAAAACTTGGGGCCAAGTGCCAGGTCTAAGCCCTTCACTTCCTCTCATCTCACAGACCCCCTCAATTGATTTCAGTTAAATATAGGAGTGCATTGCTGCCTGGCCTACAATGAATGGCCTGCGGGGATCGGAGAGTCACTTTAACCTATGTCTGAAGGGTCACTGTGACCCAGCCAGTTAGAAAACAGGAGCCACTTCCTTCAGCTCCAGGCCAAGAAGGGTCCTGGCAGCAATTTTGCTCCCCGGCTTTGCTGTTCTCCTCCCAGGTCCCCAGCCTTGCTCGTCATCTGCTATTTTCATTTTTGTTGTTGTCATCAGGTCTTTTCTCAGATGACAGCAAAGCTGCAGCAAGGCCACCGCCTACACTGTTGTACGAGAGGTCCTAAGATTCGTGCATCCTCTAAGTCACAAAACCACAGACATCCGCTACGATGATTCTGCCTTGTCACACTGAGGGGACTTCTGGTGACTAATGCCTGCACAGCGGGACATTGCGAGAGTTTCCGTTTACTAAATCTCTCTTCAGATCCCAGGATTTCTACTTGCAATCTACTTTCTTGCAAGTCCTGGATTTGGATGCTGCACAGATAAATTCCTTACTGAGAAGTAAGGCTGAGAAAAACACCCACGCTGTACTGAGTGTCTCTGAGGACCAGGCACTTCATTAAGGGCTTTGTACAAGACCTCAATTATTCGTTGCAGTGCAGGTGTCCTTAATTTGGGGGACAGAAAGACAGCAGTGGAGATGTAGAAAGGGCAGCAGAACCTCTGAAGACTGCATCCTAAACCGAGTGGGTGTTCTGATGGCACAAGAGATGTGCCTTCTGCCGGAAGTTCTTGTCACACACACTGCAATGGAACCGTTTTCTCCGGTATGTGTCCTCTGGTGCGTGAGGAAAAGGGAACGCTGGTTGAAGGGTTTGCCACACTCCAGACATCGGACATCGGTAGGGTCTGTCCCCTAAGTGGATGCGTTGGTTCGTGGTGAAGTGAGTGCTCTGGCTGAAGCTCATTTGTAAGGTCTGCCTCCCAGGTGACTCACTGGTGTTTGATGAGGGGAGAGCTGTGCGCAAATCCTTTCCCACGGTCCTTGCACTTGAAAGGCCTCTCACCTGTGTGTGTCCTCTGGTGTGTGACCAGATGTGTGCTCTGACTGCAACTCTTGTGGCAGTCGGGACAACTGAAAGGCCGTTCTCCTGAGTGAATACTCACGTGAGCTCCAAAACGAGAGCTGTCCCGGAAGCCCTTGCTGCACATTGGGCACTGGGAAGGCCGCTGTCCTGTGTGGGTTCGCTGGTGCTTGATCAGGTCCAAGCTCTGGTCAGAACTGTCCCCAGAGCTGTCACACCTGTGAGGCTTTACCTCCATGCGGACCCTCTGGTAAGTGATGAAATTTGAGCTTCGATGAAAGCTCTCTGACACTCAGGGCACGTGTAGGGTCTGTCTCCCGAGTGGGTTCTCTGATGTTTGATGGGTGTCGAGCTGTAGCCAAACTTCCTCTCACACCTACTGCAGTGGCAGGGCTTCTCCCCAGTGTGTGTCCTGCAATGCGTGAGCAGGTCCGAGCTCTTCTTGAAGCCTCTCGCCAGTATGGGTTCTCAGGTGTCTGATGAGACAGGCGCTCAGGTTAAAGCTCTTCCCACAATCTGCACACCAGGCTTCTTTCCCATGCAGCAGCTCCTGTAAACCCCTCGGCTGCACAAAGAGCTCCATGGGGCCCTTCTAATCCCAGGGCCCTCTCCCACTTTCCTCCCCAAGTAGAACAAGAAATCTTTGTAATGGTCCTGTCAGGGAACATTCCTGTCCTGAATGAATGGACATCCTGTCTGAGTATTGCCACTTGATGCTCAAAGTCTGAAAAATTAACAAATAACACAGGATAGTTATCAGATGCCAGGAAAGAATGCCAGAAAGCAGGAAGAATGATTAAAATTTCTGTCTCTGCGGAAGACTCATTTCACATGACCACTCTGCTTTTTACTCCGTGAGGTTTGTTAAGGACTTCGTGGTATAGCTCAGTGGTGGGGCACCTGCCCAGCCATGTGTGAGGCCCTGGGTTCCATTCCTCATCCTACAAAAACAAAACAAAATGAAAAACCCACTACACACATATTGTTGAAATAGGGCAGTTCTTTCAGAGATGTTATGATCCCAGTCCAGCAAGACCCTACCCCCAAAATAACCACGGCCAAAAGGCCTTGCAGAGTGGCTCAAGGGTAAAGTGTCTGCCTAGCAAACACGAGCTCTGAGATCAAACCCCAGTACTGAAAAAAACAAACAAACAAAAAAGTGCAACGTTTATTCAAAATGAAGACTTTAGCCAGTTGACTGACTGCCCAGGAAATCAAGTGTAAACTTCCATAATAAGAATAAAAGTCTAGGGCAAGAGTCTACTACTTCCCTTGCCTGAGGCCTAAATTTTGCCTAGTCTATGTCAGCATTCCAATTGCTTCTTCTTTTTTTTTTTTTTTTTTGGTGGTCTTGGGGTTTGAACTCAGGTATTCACGCTTATTAGGCAGGTACTCTACCACTTGAGCCACTCTGCCAGCCTGAAAAGATCCATTTCTTCTCCCCACCCCCAAAATTCTTCATCTAAACAAGGGCTGAAATGCCAGTGTTCTCCCACTGTGGCTCTCACCCTCACCTGTGTGACTCTCCCTCAAGATTGTCCTCATCTCAAGGTTTTGCAGCGGGAGGACCCATGGAGTCTCCTCCCATTCCAACTGGGAGATTGCACCTGGTCTACAGGTCCTACCCAGGAAGGTGAATACAGGATGTGAATCTGAGCCAGTCATACAAGGTCTGGTCAAAATCAAGCTCTTTTTCTTCTGTAGGTGGAGAATAGCAAGGGGCAACTCATGGGAGTTTGGGCTCATTACAGGGACAAACAAGATAAAGTGGTGAAGTGATACCCAGGAAGCTGAGAACAAAACTCTTTTCCTCCCATTAAAAACAAAGAGCCACTGGGAATGGTGGCTCATAGCTGAAATCCCAGCACTAGGGAAGCTGAGACTGGAAGATCACGAGTTCCACGCCAGTTTGGGCTACATAATGTGTTCGAGGCCAGCCTGGGCTCTATAATAAAACCCTATCCCAGGCCTGGGTGATAGAAACTCTAGAGTAAGCCTAATAACTCATGTTTTTAATAATTCATTTTAGAAGGTGGCTAAGCTCATCTCTATACCACCAATGCACACTTAACTCATTTTGAAAAAAAGAAACTCATTTTGCAGGCACAAGTCTAAACCCATGTGGAGAGGTAATTTTATCAGAAACAAAACTGTCATGACATCTCCCTTGGGAAGAATCACGAGAGTTACCTGTAACGCTGGGTTTTAAACTTTTCCCAGAATGGCACCTATCGATACACTTCTGAGAAAAAGACAAACACTTGTTGAAGGAAAAAAAAAATGGGCAAAGGACTTGAATAGGCAATTGTAAAAGAAAAAAAAAATAAACATGAAAAACCTTTAACCTCACAAAAGGAATCCAATGAGAATGATACACTCAGAAGGTGGAGGCAGAGGCAAGAAGATCATGAGTTCGAGGCCAGTTTGGTCTACATGGTGACACCCTGCCTCAAAAAAAAAAAAAAGGGCTGTGGTAAGAGCGCCTGCCTAGCAAGCATTAAACCCTGAATTCAAACCCCAGTGCCACCAAAATAAATAATAATAATAATAAAGAATGATACTCTTAGGCAATATGGTACAGAGGTAAAGAGTCAAATTGAGGATCACTCGGCCTGGGTCTGAATTCACAAGGTGTGTGTGTGGCCTTAGGAAAGTTACTTAAATCTCCTTCAACACCTTCATTGATAAAAGAGGGTTAGTATTAAAGCTGACTTCTATCAACCCTTAAAGTATAACAGCTGCTGCGATGAGTAGACGACGAAGGAATGAACATTTTTCACTTGCACCCTGTGGGAATGCATAAATGGACTCAATCTTCCCATGAGGCGCTTGGCAAAATATCAGATACCTTAGAAATCTATTCTTTGACCCAGAATTCTAACTGTGAATCCTAATGAAATGACAAAATCATATCTCAACAAATAAGATTTTTTTAAAAAGCCAGTTAAAGGATGCTCATCAGAACACTGGTGAAAATTCTGAAATAATATTAGTGTCCCACAAAAAGGAATAATTATATTTGACTGAACCAAATGAAACTGCGATTTTTATAGGTAAAATATATGGTTCAGTCTAATATTCTCTTCCATACAATATTCTACTCCATACAACAAAATACTGTTATTTTAATTGATGTATATACACAAAAGTACTATTGCCAAAATATATTTCCAGTACAATGTGTAAGAAAGTGGGAAGTACAAGTGAATTTACACTTAAATCCCAGCATTATTCTTGAGTGTGTACACGTGTGTGCACAAGCCTGAAGACGTGGGCTTCACTATGCTGGCCTTGAACTTGAGATCCTCCTGTCTCAGCTTCCCAAGTAGATGGAATTACAGGTCTGTACCGCTGTACCAGCACCTTTTCCCCTCTTGCAGTACTGGGGATCAAAACCAGGGCCTCACAAATGCTAGCAGAGGCTCTACTACTGAGCTACACCCCAGGTCCTGTTTTGGTTTTAGATGTTAGCATGCTTAGGAAAAGGCTGGTAAGTTAGTAACTCTTTCCTGATAATGTTTGGGGTGACTTATTTTCATTTTGCATGTCCTTTTCCTCAGTGAGTATGTACTACTTGTGTAATAGATATGAAATAAAGCAGGTAGTCATGGTATTAATTTGTGTGTGTGGTGCTGGGATTGGAACCCAGGACCTGTACCTGCTTGGCAAACACGCACTACCATTGAGCTACAGCCCTGGCCCATCCATGGTATTTTAGAAAAAGCACTGGAGTGTTTTGTTTTTTTAAGTAATAGGTATAAATACTCTAGGGACAGCTTTCCCTTTTCTACAAACACCTGGGTTGGACTTTCACCTTTGCCACTAAAATTGCAAGTGTCAGTCAGAAAACAGGAATACAGCTGGGCGCAGGTGGCTCACGCCTGTAATCCCAGCTACTCAGGAGGATCACTGTTCAAAGCCAGCCCCCAAAAGTAGTTCAAGCGATCTTATCTCAAAAACCCATTACAAAAAATTGGGTTGGTGGAGTGGCTCAAGGTGAAGGCCCTGAGTTCAAGCCCCAGTATCGCAAGAAAGAAAGAAAGAAAGAAAGACAGGAATAGTAGTACACAGTATCACAGGGTATGTTTTAAGATTTTAAGAAAACAATAGATACCAAAGACATCTGCAAACCATAAAGAGCCATGAAGACGGGAGTCTTTCTTTTTCTGTCATGGAGGCAATTAGTCTCAAAGGGCTGGAGTTCTAAGAAATGATGTCCCTAAGGCCATGCAGACCTGGCCCTCTCAAAATCCTTGTGCTCAGAGTAAAGGAGGCTATGCTCACCCTTTGAGAGCCTGTGCTTGCAACTGTGCTGGAAGACATGGAGAAGAGGACCCTCTGAACAGCAGCTTTTCCTTGGCATCCCAGCCGCATCACTGACAGCCACCAGTCCCAACGCAAGAGACCTCACTGTGCATCAGTACCTCCCCAGAGGTTCTGCCACTGCCTGAAAACCAAAGCCGGCCACCAGGATCCCCAAGCAGAGAGTCCTGGGGTCAACCCCAGAAAGGTCGCCTTGTTTTTTTTTTTAATCTCTCTCCCCTCCCCTCTCCCCTCTCCCCTCTCTCCTCTTCCCTCTCTCCTAAGCCTTCTCTTGGCCAACCTTCCTTCCCATCCCTGAGGGGCCTGGACCTGGTGGCCGCATGCAAACCCGCACCTCCACAGCAGGACCCGCAGGCGCCACGTCCCGGCTGAGCCCCAGCTCGGGGTAACGCACCTGTTAATAGGGAGGACGGGAGGCATGCTGGGAAATGTGGTCTCAGGTGAGAGCAGGTGAGCTCTTTGGGGACTGGTCACAAAGAAAACGCACCTGGGGCTGGGGGTGTGGCTCAAGTGGTGGAGCACCTGCCACTTGAGTTCAAATCACAAAAAAAGGGAAAAAAAGGAAAGAAAATACTTCGAGATGAATAAAAGAGAGCCAAGCGTGGTGGCTCACACCGGTACTCACTGTTACACGGGAGGCTGAGCTGGAAAGATCACCTGAGCGCACAAGTGTGAGACCAGCTGCGCAAGTGGTCGCAGGTGCTTCCACTAACTTGACTTTTTCCCCCTTGAGACAGGGTCTCACAGTATTGCCCAGGCTGGTCTGGAACTCCTGGGATCAAACGGTCCTCCTGCCTCAGCTTCCTGAGTAGCTGGTACTACAAGTGTGTACCACTGCACCTAGACTGAATTTATTTTTTGGTGTTACTGGGGTTTGAACTCAGGGCAGGCACTCTACCACTTGAACTACTCTGCCAGGCATGTTTTGTGTTGGTTATTTTTGAGATGGGATCTCTTGAACTGTTTGTTGGGGCTGACTTTGAAACTCCATCCTTCTGATCTCTGCTTCTCAAGTAGCTAGGATCAAAGATGTGAGCCACCGGTGCCCGGCTGATCACTTAATTTTATTTTCTTGTGACACTGGGGCTTGAGCTCAGGGCCTACACCTTGAGCCTCTCCACCAGCCCTTTTTTGTGATGGTTGTTTTTTGAGATAGGGCCGCATGAACTATTTCCCCAGGCTGGCTTTGAACCCCGATCCTCTTGACCTGTGCCTGCTGAGAAGCTGGGATTAGAGGCGTGAGCCACTGGAGCCCAGCTGACCAATGAAATTTTCAAGAGAAGGAGTACATCCAATATCTATTGCTTTGTTACAAACTGCCATCCAAACTTGGAGGTTATAAACA